ACACGTTCGATTGTTGAATGTAACTGTGCAATAACCCTTAATGAACGAGTAAAAATTGTACCTGTGTCTGACATGATCAGTACTGGAGATATACATTATATTTACGATGAGTCAATGAATAAAATACCCTGATCTTATCGTTCACAGACACACGACGCATCTATTCAGGGAGTACCATGGTTGCAAAAGTAGCACATAAAGGTCACTCAAACCCAAAGAAGTGAATCACTCGACCGTGTTTAAGTATTCCAGTTATTGAGAGGATTTGTTTTCAAACACGACGTACTTCGAGAATTGTGGTGCATTAAACGACTACTTAACACATATTTACCTGGCCGGTCAAACAGTTTATTGGTATCTTTAAACGCTTTCGCAGACGCCAGACTAACAACATGCGTTTTTCCATACCAATATGATGCTACGTGACCATATTTGGTATGGAGTTTTACGATTTTACTAATATGAACTGGTACACCTGACTTTCAAAATTGTGATTGGACACGTGGCTGTTAGTTTGTTTAAAGCTAAAGTGCTTGGCGACTGAAATGAATAAAATATATGTAACATGTATTTTTGTACTATAATTAGAAAAAAATATGGCATTAAATGCTCTTAAATATTTTCTTTCAGAACCACTAATCATCTTACTGCAAGCTTAAGGTTTGTCCATGCTGGATTTAGGAAAAATGGGAAGTGCTCTTTTTAACATATGTCATATGGTCTCAGTGATGCGCTTTTTACTAATGTCATTGATATTCTTCTAGAGATATCATAAATAAAATGATTAGCATATTACGTGACGTTTTGTGCCATGATTAATTAGTCCCCGTTCGGATACTGTCTGAAAACGGGTACTTATGGATTGACCTCTGTGCATGTCTGTGCGTGCGTCAGTGCATCCGGATCTATACTTTAGACATCCCTTAACAGATTGCATTCAAATTTCACACATACATCCGCATATCAATTTGTTCCACGATCTGATTCAAGATGATCGAATGACGGCAATTTTTGAAATCAAGCTTTTCTGGCATTCCGGAACCGGATATCGGCTGTTTACAGATGGATTTTGTTAAAATTTGGTATATACACTGGACATTATGGAACCTTGAAGGTGACCATTTTGTTTTCCAGATCGGATTACTAATGGCCGAGCGGTTGTTTTTTTTGTTCTAATTAATCCTGTCCCAGAGCAATATCTATCAATATGGACAAGTACTTGTTTGATGATCCGATACAAGATGAATGAATGTCATGTCGGGTAAGAATGCCAACCACAAGACCGCAATACTTACTCTACTAACAATGATGCGAACACTGATGTTATTAATTCGATCTAAAGGCATGTCAAGACCAGCCAGGTTTACACACAATCATTTAATTCAAGTAGTGTATCATACATGGATGTAATATGTACGTAATTGATATTTCAGATATTTTTGTAAACTCAATATAAGATAGTTTGGATTATACTAATGTGAAATGCTCACTTTTCGCAGATAACGTAGTAATGTTATCGGATTCAAAGATTTGGCAATAAAAAAACATAGTGCCACTTTAGCAATTGAAGGGGCTTCGTGCAATATGTGTATTAAAACAAACTATTTAATGATAAATATGAGTCACAATTAAAACATGGCAATATTTACAACTCTTATTAACGGATTATTACATTTAACCAAATTTCAGAGCACAGTTGAAACAATGCTACATTGATAAATATAGACGTCTAACATTTCAAAACCAAGATGATTAACGTTCTTGTACAGTCTCTTAGATTTCTACCATATTAATTCATATACAGACTATGGTTGATGAGAAATCTGAAAGACACGACAAAAAATGACAACTAAACGCTTCATACATTGAAACAATAAGTAGAAATAATGTAGATGATAACAAAAAGGATTTGACATTGAAAATGAATAATGTCACTGATTGCACATAACTCATTCCATATATGAATCACCCCAAGTGTCTGTAAAATATGTGTTGAAACGGGCAACGTGTCCCCTTTTGACATTTCATATTGTCAAGGGGTCCCTGCTCTGAAATTATCCGGAATCAAGCCGTGTTGATATATTAGTAATGCATGTTAAGTGACAGTGATAGGACCATTTTACTACTATTCCTGCTGCTACAAATATTTCAAACCACATAAGAGCGGGAGGGGAGTGTCTGAAAATTAAAATTACCCCTACTTGCTTTCCTGTATATAAAGTGATGCACATGATCACATACCTGAAAAAAAAGTACACTGTTACGCCTCTCCTGAAAGATCTGGTGCATTCAAACTGTGCCGTCTCTTCGGGTTTTTCCCACAGACAAAATGTATTGTCAGTTTGTCAAAATACATTTAAATAAATGATCCTTGGTAAACAAAAACATTTATTTTTACATTGTACTGTCTTTTCTTAATGTCACGATTGTTACTTCTGCCTCTTGTTTCTTATGTAAGTTCTGGCCACAGGCACTCTTGTCCTTTTGCATTGTAATTCGTCTGCCTGTTTGTACATCCACCCATTCCAAGTATTTTTTGTATGTTCTGGTACTACTATTTATATTAATTTAATTTAATTTTTATTTGAACCTTGAAATGTGTATACGAACTGAAGTTGGCTAAATACTTTGCTCCACTCCATTTTTGTAGTCAGACTTGAAAAATGATGACAATGTATATATATATATTTTAGTATCTTCTATACTAATAGACATAATGATACTTTGATGTGATTTCAATTGAATTACTGTAATATTACAACCTATACTATACATAACTATATCCCTGTACATATAAATATTGTCCTTATTTTCTACTGTTTCGTATTTCTCTATTATGGGATTTTTGCTTCTGTCATCTCTAGAATCTTGTCGTCTGCCGTCTCACATATACCTTGTCTCTCCCTGATGTGCGACATCATTCTGCATGAACTTTTCTTGCTTAGTCGAGCTGCAGGTTGCCTCATGTCGACAGGGAAAGATATATTGCAGTCAGTGCATTTGTAGACGCTATATCTATAATGGTCCTTTGCTCCGTTCCACCCGAAGGCACATCCGGTGATTCTAGGAGGTGTTCAAGATGGGTTCGTCAGTTGATAACTTTGAAATAAACACACCGATTAGTGCACATCATTGAAATGGGAAAGTTTCTTATCCAACAGCTCCTCATAGATAATCCAACTGTTGCAGATGACAGCATCCTTAAGGTAGGGTTTGGCGGTGGAATAAAGCATATGACCAAAGCTGGGATGATCAACACCTCCAATGTATTCGTTATAATCTCCAACAATATTTGAGTCTTGTACCTGCTGATTCTTGCATTGTTATCGATAAACCTCTTAAGCAATTTGACAGCAGGTTCAGTGTATTGATATCTGTGTTTGTCGCGACATCTAAATCTCCCTTAAGTCATGACGCAAACTGGACCTGAATTTGTTATGCTATCCCTTGCAAGATTCCTACACGCAGTGCAGTGAAGCTATTTTGGTTTTGTCTCGTACTCTCGCATATTGCGGCTATTATGGATACATCCTCCATAACTTTTTCAAGAATTTATGTGCTTGTCATGAATGGCTTGCCACATAATTTGTATGGCTGTCAGCAAGTTCGTACACCTTAAAGCATTTGTCCCTTGGTTTACCCTTGATAACCATTTGTAGTTTACAATCACTTATTTTATCGCCACCTTGTGGTGAAGATGATATAACTGTTGCAAATAGGTTATCACACTATGGAATACTGGAGCAACTATGCAAATTAGCTGTGAGTGTCTATCTCTAAAAAAAAACTGGCACTATTTCAATATTCTGGACTTTTGACCAATAATTATCAACATCCTTGTTACGTTCAACTCATTTGGCATAGCAATTCGTCTCTCTATTCTGTCTGGTCAATAATGTTTTAGGGAATATGTTTTGAAATGATGGTGTTGGTAAATTTCTACTTCGGACTGGGTATAGTGTAAGATGGTACTCCAACTTTCGTCATCCACAGAAATGTCATGTTAGTTAACATTATCATTATAATGTTAGTTAACATTATTCAGTATCTGGTGTGTTTCTGTTCCAACTTGTCTCTATCGCAGTATGTAAGTATATGCACGAAAGTTGTCATAGTCTTTTGTGCTCTGGTTCAGCCAGCTCCTCGCCCAATGAATTATCTTGACACTGTAAAGATTAGGAGGAAGCACACTATCATTGTTACTATTATCACTGCTATACATGTCATTTACATCATCACTTTGTGCCTGAACCTGCTGCATGACATTATCACTACCCTCATCATGGACCCCCTAACATATCAGTAAAGATTGTGTACTTACTCCCTGGGCTGTTCAAATACCCATCACTCGAATTAAAAGGAAAAGGGTGTCCATTAGTCTAGGGAGAATGGAGGCGTTGTATACACGGAACTTTATATCTACACCATATCCCAATCAGATTGGTTGTTATATTGATTATCACCGACACATTTTCAAAACATGTTGTCATTTATTAGCACTCATCTTTCATTGTATATACAATACACAACAATTCCTCTGTTAGTCTTAACTGTCAGAAACGTTAGTTAGTATGTCATTTCGAGAGGAGGTTATGGTGACAGCTCAGAAACAGACACAACAATATACCATCCATTATCCATTATCTACACAATAGGCGATATAAATTTAGCATGATGTATAATCATGAACACGTAAATGAGAGTCCTGTCAACTTATTCGTGCCTTCCCATGCCCCCCATCTTTGGATCAATCATCGCTGTAGTCCACTTGGTACACCGGTTATTATGCATATTAGTCATGTACAGTAAAAGTCATGGGTTTATTTATCACAATGATTGTTTATTTGTATATGATTGGTTGTACACAACAAACTATTTCTGTCAAACAGCATACCATGTTAGTTTTGATACTGTTAAAAGCTAGTTATATCTAATGAATCTATTTGAAAATATAGACAATCAAATCACTATCAAATAACTTGGCGTGTACTAAATAAACGAGTAGTATATCAGTTTTCAAAACGAATAACCACCTAAGGCAATGCGTATATATTATCATGTGCATTCTAGAATATATAAAACCTGTGAAGCTTGAAAAGCTTGACAACAATTTTATAATATATATATTTATATATCCCACAATATGTAATTAATACAATTATGTAAGCAGTTAATTCAACATGTTTACATAATCAGTCCCTCTTCGTAACTGTAACCCAAATATTGTTACTCGGTATGGTAACGAATCCATATTTCCTCTCAATGGTTTGCCCTTCTACCATTTGAAATTTAAACTTTCTACACAATGTAGCTAAGAATACAGCGCCCCCTGCATAGGTAATACGATATCCAGGGCATTTTCGTTTTCCAGCAAAGCCGAATGGTTGGAATGAAAACGGGTGACGAGTACTGGCATTTTCCGGCAAAAATCGTTCTGGAATGAATCTGAGAAAATAAATAAATATACACTATATGATATCGTATGGTATTATGGTGCGCATCCACACTATTGTGTGCATCAATAATTAATAGTCATAAATAGAATATACAATCAGAACATTAAAATACAACATAACCCAAACATAATGTTTGGTACAGTCTTGAAAGACCGACCGTTAATTTTGTAAGAAATGGCCAACTGAAACATTTCATTTGTACATTTGGTAATAGCACGTTTCGTTGCCTAAAAGAACCTATTTGGTGCACATAAACCAACAAATAGTTGATACTCTGTCGTAGTATAAAATTTAAGAGAATAATCAGCATGGGCGATGTAACATGCTTGTTGACGATTGTCGGTGGTGTCAAGTTGAATGTAATTGTTTTTCTAACTCCGCACATCAAACACGTGGGTCAGCTTTTGTGTGGTGAAATTAGTTGATCTGAAAAACTCATTAAGTCGGCCATATAACAATTGTTTAAACACACATAGTATGTATTCAGACAACATCAGCTCCGCTATTGAAAGGTCGTAGTCACAATGTTTGTTTTACGGCGCCAGTGTTGTGGAGATGGAGGTGGGGGGGATTGTGTACGTTTGTTTTATGATTATTACTTGTGCCTTTTGTTCCATACTAATCATTGTATTGTATAGGCAAATGCGTTAATTATTTTTACAATATTCAAGTTTCCAATACATGTTAGTAAACATTGGGTATGTGACATTGGAGAACAATATATATTTTATTTTCTCGTGAAATTTGTCACAAGTAATTCGAAATTGTTACTACTTGTGATTATTTTACAGTTGTTAGTAATTATTCAATCTATATATCATATACCTTTCAGGCTGAGGCCATATTTCGTCGTCCATTTGTACAACACCCAATGCAAGCACCATAGGTGTCTGCAAATATAATAAGAATGTAATGAGAAATAAAACATATGTCTATCTAATCAACTTTTGAAATGAGTACTGTTGTATAAAATTCACAATTCTTGAAGGGATTCACAAGATTAAGAAAACGAATGGTGGAAAATAGATGGTTGACAGCAAATGAAATAAAAAAATAAAACAACACTGTCGACGAAACTAAAAATTATAATGATATAATATGGAAGATGGTTTTATTATAAAGTGTAACACACTTCGTAATCGTGAGTATAATGCCAATGACGTTATTGAAATACGTACCTCTTTTGGAATGGTATAGCCCTGTACCACCATGTCTGCATTCATATTGATCCTGGCTGCAAATGGTGCCAACACAGAGCACCTGATAGACTCGTCAAACACACATCTCATGTACCTATACAATACAATGACAATGTGATACAGGTCGTTATTCAGCGATCTATACATTTGACAGAACATGACCATGGAATCGTGTCATCATCTCCATTTGAATATTTGCGCGTGGGATGATTTCGAGTATTAAAATTATTGTCTATATCATAATTTAAATTAGGTGATAGCTGATCTATTGCATGGCAAACTAATAATGTGTGTAGGGAATCGGTAATGGCATCCCAGGAAGAACTATGTGAATAAAAGAAAGACAAAATTGTTACCCATCATTCAAATTGAATCATATCATATCATGATTCATAACTAGGTATGTCGTTCTAACCATGATTACACTTTAATGTAATTGCATGTACGTTCTGTGTGACACCAGACTTGCGCATGGTCAGTCTGCATTAAATATATACTAAACAGCTGTCTTTTTTTGTTTTCATATGTGCGCATAATATCGATTACAGGCACAAAACAATGCGCACCGTTTCAGTGAATAAAATCACGAATTTAGAACACAACCCATGTTGTTGTACGCATCGAACACTGTTTCTGACAGTTTATAACTCACTTCAGTGATTCCAGGTTCACATGGTTTACTTTTTCATCTTTGCCAATGACTTCGATTATTTCCTGGTATACTTTTTCCTGCACTTCTTGATTTTCACACATGTAGTAGAATGTCCACACCATCACTGTCGAGGGATGTTAACATAACTTATTTTAGTAACACAATTAAGCAAATGCACGATCAAACATCGATGTAGTATGACAATGTGTCTTGGTCATTCTGCGAATTATGTCAGTTATGCCTTAATACGATAATATGTAATGTGAATTACTAAAAACTGTAGTATGATAGCCTGCAATGAAGTACGTTTAAGCATCTGATAGAAGCTCTTCTTCGGACGATGATTTTGCCACCAAAACATCAATAAAAGTCCAATCGTCATCACTTGGTGGGTTATCTCGTCGATGTTGAATCATGGCTCGCATAAAATCATGCCATGCATCCAAAGCTGTAAAATATGACAAGTATCAGCATGAATATAACTTTTGTTTGTCAGAGGACCAAGTAACCTATTTTCAAGAAGACCAGGTAAATCTAACAAAGATGTTGATGACTGATGCTAAATGGTCTTCCGCGGTTGACTAGACTACAAACAAAGCTATCACTAGTACCACTCGACTCTTGAAAATGTCGGCAATAACCACTCTGGAAATATTTATGCATAGGCCGGACACCGATCACATCAGAAACAGAAACAAAAAGGGATTTGAAGAAGAGGCATGCATAATAATCTTAATAAATACATTTGTCTAACTGTACTGCTAATTACATAAGCTGATGTGCTAACAAATACATACAAAGTATCATACTTTTACAAAAAAACATCAGCATGACTAACGATATAAACGATATATGTTCACCCAGTTATTGTTCATTCAATCTACGACAAAATGCTGTGAATTGTTATCACATAAATTCCTGACATTAAGTAATACCTTGAGCGAATCTCTGTCCAGCTTCAGTGTTTTTAGATATGTCCTGATTCAGAATGGCCATTGTCTGAAATAAACCAATCTTTAACTATTTATACAATCACCAAATAGCAACTCAATAAATTTGTACTAAGAAAATGTACTGATGATATGAATTCTAGTATATACATATACCTTATAGCAAAAACGTTACCTCATACTTCACTGGTGTACTTACGGTTTCATAGTGACGTAACATGGTGATAGCTTTTTCGTCATCCTTGAAGAAATCTCCATACGTAGCATGACTTAGAGACTTCAACACCAACAGAGACATGTGTTCAGTTATATTAATGTGTTCATCCGACGACATAGACTCAATCGTCGCAACAACCGCATCAGTAGCCTGTCAATAGAATATAATATGCATTAAAGTCACCACCATATTAGTATATTAGAATGTAACATTTATCATGATAGGGCGAGTAACACGGAATATATTTATTTTGTCTATTCCATTGCCCTGTCATACTACTAAACCCAATAAAAAACTATAGCAAATGAACAAATCTGGGGGAGGGGTACCTAAGGTACCTATATGTATAGTATTAAAGCAATCGCTGTTTTCAATAAGAAGTCGAAAATATCCCTTTCTATCGAAAATAAAATATTCATCAAAATTAGAAAATTGAAGATATCACCATAAAATGATCGAATCTGAGTGCATTCTACCTGAGGTGGCTACATGTATAACAATCAAAGCAATCAGATTTGTAATTTTTAACAAGAAGTTGAAAATATCACTTTTTACCAAAAATGGCAAACATATTCATCGAAATTAGAATTAAAGATATCATCACAAAATGAACGAATCAAAGGGAGGTCAGCCCAATGCACATATACACCAAGTATCAAAGCAATAAGGTTTGTAGTTTTCAAGAAGACGACGAATATGTAAAAAGTTTACGACAGACGATGAACAACAACTGATATGATAAGCTCCGCTCGACAAATTCGACAGCGGAGCTAAAAATAAAAATAAAATAATTAATTAAAAATAATAAAAGGAAAGATAAGCCCAATAAGATTCATTTTCATTGCTCATAAATGCTTGTATTTTGTTGATCATACAAGTATTCTACACTTGAATTATTATTTGATTACAAGCATATATTTTAATTTCAAATTCAAACATCCCCGTCAAATACAGTGGGCTTTTCGATTTGCAAATGGTGCTTTACTTTCCAACATCAAAGGCAAAGTCACGACAAATACTCCTAACAATGTTCCATAGTACAGTACACTGTTGCAAAGAAATTAACTATTTCGGCGACCACTGTAATAACACAACATATTTTTTACCTCATAAAACCTGGTGTAGTAGTTTTTAATTGCATCATAACTGAATAATTGGTCGTAGTCATGGCGACGGCGTTTCCAATTTTCCCCATTTGCATACGTTATACTGCGTAGTCCAAAAAGGGGTTTCATAAATTCAAACAGTTCAACTGTAAAAGAGCATTACTTATATGAATAACATAACAAAATTACATTATCTTTATTAAGCATGAGTCAAAGATTGAAATGCGCTATTCTTATTTACAAACACACTGACACAGTGTAAGGCCTGCTTATTGCTATTGAGAGGGGCACCCACAGAACTCGCACTGAACAGGGGGGGGGGGTCTTTCACTGCTAGAATAAGGTAGACAAGACAATATTACTGGAAATGAAATACACATACACCAAAATATCAAGTTAAAGGTCTCGGCTTTAATACCTCTCAAAATAATTACAAGATACAAAGTACGGAATAATACTATAAATAAATTCATTAAAATAGGGGATTGCCTAGGGAAGTGTGCATTGGTGATAACTCACAGTACTAGGATGTTGAAATTGATGACAGTCAATGTTTTCTGCAACACAACGGTTGAGAAATACAGGAGTCCTGCTTGAGGAACGCTGTTATTCTGGAGAGCATCGCTGATAGCAGGAGATCGCAGAGCAGAATGATGGTTGAAGCCTGTATCACTTGTCTCAAAATATCGCAGCAGCAACACATAGTACTCAGCTGAAATGGTGGACCACAACTGTCTTCAGTCTAGCCAGATTCAGGCACACCACTTGGGTCTCCGCATGAGCCAATCAGAATGTGGTCATGCTAGCAGCTGTCCCACGTAGGCAAGTCAGTAGATCGTAAACATTCTTTGTTATGTAAATCACAAGCACACCTAGTAGATTCCAATTGTCCTTCCAGAGTTGTAAACAAGTATGACAATAATCACCTTTATGACAGTTATCACACGGCAATGCACACCGTTTCTTCCCATGATTCCATGCACACTTCTGTTTGCATGGTTTGAGGTAATATATAACAAACATAGAATAAAGGATGCTGACATTGCCCCCTCATCAGACTGAATATGGCACATTTTCAGCCCATTAATCAGCATCAACAGCCAATAAATTTACAATTTCCCAAAATTGGAAAATATATTATAACTGCAATTTTAAACATTCTTAATCTTACCTAAATATTTCGCACCTATATTTATTTATGCTATAATGCGGTAGCTAAATGATTGCAAATATAGGGCCCACCGCATTAACCTACTGTTTACTTCTTGTGCTTTTTTTAAATAAATTAAAGGCTCTAGTCTCCAATATAAATTCTTTACCATATAAATATTGGTGAAATTTATGCAAGGCCCAACTCACTGCCAAAACACTCTTTTTAGTCTGTGCGTTCTAGCGTGCGTCCAGACCTGTATCTTAGACATACCAATTACATTCAAACTTCACACATACATCATACATAATATTATACATATGCACATTGATTTGTTTCACGATCTGATTCAAGATGGCCGAATGGCAGCCATATTTGTACTGAAAAACCATTAAAACAAGCATTTCTCGGCTGTTTACAAATGCATTTTGTTCAAACTTGGTATATACATTAGACATTATGGGACCTTGATGCAAATTATTTTGTTTGTTTTAGATAGAATTCAAAATGGCTGACTGGCGGCCATTTTGTTTTAATGAATGGGCTTCTAGAGCAATATCTCTGACATGCTTTGACTGATTATGTTCAAATTGTATATATTCATTATACATCATGTTATAGATGTATACATGTATTCAAAATGGATGATGTTGTTTAATTAATGCTGTTCCAGAGTAATATCTCTCAATATGGACAAGTACTCGTTGGCGATCAGATACAAATGTCAATCATTTTAATGTTATACAATCATCATAATCATAATCCTGACATGGTTATATTCCAGCTATATTACTATAAACAAAACTATATATCTTAAATTCGATAACTAACAGAGACCATGCATAGCTATTTCAAATACAGAATTAGACTTCTCTCTGGCTGGCAACTTACAACTGGCGTGTGCCATTGGAAATTTCCCTTCCTCATTTTGTTGCAATAAAACTGCACTGAGCCCAACTTCTGATAAAACACTTAGTAAAATCAGGCAACCATAAAATTGGTTACTTACTTAATAAAACTTTCAAGTGATTAAAGGCACCTTCCTGGGGATCTTCCCAGACTACTTTTCTTGGCTGAACTCTTGGTAAAATCACAGAGAGGAGCTGCTATTGTAGCCAAATTTGGCACAAATTTTCGATAGTATCAAGCCATGCATAAAAATGACCTTACATGCTTTACTGTTTCAGGTTCGGTTGCATGCAGTATAGCTTCTATTTTATCTGGTAATACTTGTAAAATGCCGTCACCTACCTGGTGACCAATAAACTCTAAATTAGTAAAATCAAAGAAACGCTTTGAAGGTCTTGCGATTAAACATGCCTGCCTTAAACGGGCCAAAACGTCATGTACAATTTGTACATGCTCCTCCCAAAATTTTGAATAAATAAGAATGTCATCAATTAGATTTACCTTAAAGACCTACCAACAAAATACACATCATACAGGGGAAAAAAGAGGCTGGTGCATTCACAAGCCCGAATGGCATACGTCGAAACTGAAATGAACCATCAGGTCTGAGAAAGGTTGTCGTTTCTTTAGCCCTCTAACTCATGGGCTAGATCAATTTTGGTGAATTACCAACCTTCTTTTAATCATGAATATAGATCTTCAGGTGACGGCATTGGTTCTGCATCGAACACTGTAATGCGATTGAGTTTGCGAAAATCAATGCAAAACCTTGCACCCCCTCCTTTCCTATTTACCAAAACTATTGGTGAGGCATAAAGTGAATTTGGTGGTTCAATTAGACCCATCTCTAACATGCCCTTAACCTCTTACCACACTACATCTGTGTATGGTTTTGACCTAACTGGTTCAGATGTTACCAATTTAATATCATGCTCGCCAATTTTAGACTTTCCAATACAATCAGTGAGAGCATCAGAAAATTATCTCATAACTCCATCAATCTCAAC